TCTATCTCAGGCACCCATAGAAAAGCACATGGCTTTAGGGTATTTCAAGCCACGTTACTCCCCATTGCATAGAAAACTTGTAAAATCCTAATTTTAAGGGCTTCCTCTCCTTTAAAAAGGAAAATGGAATTCTGAAACACTTTAATTCAGCAACTCTCAGTTCTTCATGGTAGCTTGTAGGATTCACTAACAATATCTGCTAAACCATGGGGCAAGTTTCCTACGTTAAATTAAGATGCAGTGTAAATAAGAACACACTGAGCAAAGTTAGTTTTTAGTAGAGCTCTACTAAGCTCACATATATACCAGTCAGTGGAACTGGGCTTACTAGCTTTTGTTCTGCTCACAGTTGACTCAGAGCCAACCTTGCTAATAATTTCATAGTAAAATCAGCTTGGACCATTATTTTCAAAGGTCTCTTTGCAAACTTATAACAGGATTTTTTTTTGCACTTAATTAATTTATTGGTTTGTATTTTGTCCTTAGATTTCTAGTCTAATTTATGGGTGTGGTAAAAGGTAACTTCGTATTTCCTAAGCCTGCTGGATTCTTAGGATGTGTTATGGGCAATGTGGACAGTAGCATGCATCAACTTCTGTCTCTATCTTTTGTTAGTATTTTGCCTAATGCACAGTAAAAATAGATGCTCTTTTCCTTACATTAAATACTCTGAAATAACTTCATAATTGCTTGAGTGTGTAAGAAACAATAACCGGACAGAAAAGCAAAATCCCTTTACATGTTGTACTGTAGAACCACATGAACAAAGAAACCAATAAAAACTATCACAGCACAAAAATGTAATTAAATGTTCTTCTTTTATTTGTGTCTCCACCCAGGGTGTAAACACACACTGAGGCATTCACTTATCGCTACAAATCTCTAGCCTCACTATAACAATAATTAAATCCAGACTTAAAACTCTGACCCAAGTGTTTTTTAGAAGGAATTGCTGAGATTTTTTTTCTATTTCTGTTTCTAATTATACTAATCCATAAAAATACTAGTAGTTTTATGGTGACAGACAATGGCTGGAGCAGTCTTCTTTAAAGGCATCTCACAATAAGGCGTTCTACTGGTCATATCATTGAGTTATAATTTTCCAGTTTTAATTCGTACTACGCACATACACCTTTCAATTTTACCTTTTACATAAAAAAGAATTTTATGAAACAGAACAAAAATAACTTACGATTATATGAAAAATAACTGTAACAAATCACAAAATTATACATACTAGTAGAGAAAAAAGTGTAACTAATTATTCTGAAAATTTATTTTTCAGAGTATGCAACAGATACGTCTAAAGCAAATATCAGCCAGATATACAGTATGTCAAATGGACTTCATAGGTGTATATGTAAGCATATATAAATATGTAGAATACTCTGTAAGGTTTAGGAAAAACATACTCCCACTTTCTCTCCTCACCAAAGTGCTTTGTGTAAAAAATATTACACAAGTTGCTGCTTTCTGAACAGAATAAAGGATTTTTTTTTCTTAAATAAAACCCCACTCAGCTAATTTTAAATTGTGGTCTTTTTCTTTTACTTTATCTGTTCCTAGGATATTTTTTTTTTTTTTTTAAAAACAACACCAAAATTTCACACAAACAACAAAAAAGTGCTGTTTAAAAAAATCTGCTATAAAATTACACAGGGAAAACAGGGAATAAACACTTAACATGTAATTTTTATACTCATTCACACCTCTTCAAAGAAAGTTGGAAACAAAATACAATGTGACAGGTGGCCTTTGCACTGTGATACTTCAGCATCTGGTATTAGTAAACCATAATGCCTATATGTATGTGTGTATATATACATGTATATATATACATCGAAAGGGAGATCCAAATATTCACATGCACTCTCATACACTCACACATGTACACGTGCACTTTGAAAGTATATTTTAAACTCCAGTGTAGACCCATTTCTAATGCAGATATAAATAGATCATTTGAGTCTGAAAACAAGAGCATTGTATAAAAGAATGATTGTAAATAATTTCATTAGAATATTGTTTAATGTCCATTGTCTAAAATACTTCATCTCTTAGATATGAATCCCTTTAGAAAGTTAACAATCCAGCAAGTAGAATAACAATGTAAAAATCACTGAGGCACAAGAATTTGCATATAAGGCAGTAACTGGCATTACGCTATGTATTTTCACAAGCACCATTTTTCATTGCAATATGTGACAAACATGATTCCCTATTTAAATATCCAAAATAAATGGGAAAATGGTTCTTTTTTATACAATTGCCCTCAGTGATATAAGCTGATCCCCCAAACTCAGTCTGACACCAAAGAGAATAATGAAATAATCATGAAGAATTCTCTTTGTCTCTGATACAGAAGTAAACAAAGGCATACCTTTTTACAGACTGGTAGCCCACTCTCATGTGCTTAATTTGACTGTACTGTAGCTCCTTCCTTAGAAGATTAAGGCTCATAGAAAGCTGTAAATATACATACTTTATATATCTATGTGTCTGTGAAAGAACGAATGAATGACTTGCAAAAGTTTCCTTTTTTAAATGTAAGTGATGAACCCCCAAATTACGGATACCCTTTTTGAATTCCGTATTCCCACTTTCCCTTTGGTCAGGACCTTTCATATGTATAAGGCCCCTCTCTTTCGTACATTCAGAAAAAATACTTCAAAAGATTTAAAAGTCAAGGTCGTTCATATCTGAAGTCAGCAGCAATATTTCAGTTTTGTACACAGCAACTGACAAATTCTGGACAACCATGTGGTTAAAAGAACCTTAAAGGACTTACATATATGAAAGTATGTGCGTGCATACACATGAATACGTACACACTGGGCCTAATCCTGCTCTTACTGACTTCGGTGAGTCAAAACAGTCCTACACGTTTGAAACTGAAATGTTCAGCGTGCCTAATTCTTACT